GAAGTGAGGATGCTGAAAATGTTCAGACGAATTTCATCATGCAGTCGATGCAACTGGAGGAAGTGGCACGTGCTGCTACATCACCTTGGCGGGCTTTATGCAAATTAATTTTATTTGTATTGATAGGAATTTAGCTGTAAGTTCATACTGTACTTTGAGGATAAATACTGATAATTTGTTAAAAAAGTAAGTCCTATTTTTAGAGTAAAAACATTTTTTGTTATGTTTAAGTTGCTGTTAACAGCATAATATCTATGTTTGTTTTTTCAAATAACATTTTAATATGCACACTAATTAAAATGTCTGATATGTTGAAAATTTCTTGTTCACCACCAGGTATTTTTAAATATCCTAAATATTTTGCTACAGTACTTTCAACTTCTTTGCCAGTTAAAATAGGTTTTAAATGTGTGCCTTTTTTATGAACAATAAGCCTCTATTCCCATCTTTAATCCACCGAAAAGTCAATTTAAAACTTTAAAAATGTGTTTGGCCATCACAGCCATTTTGACAGTGAGCTTATTTTACATTCTAACAATCAGAGCAATCTATTCAAATATTCCCTTTTATAGTTGGCAGTACATTTCTAACAGTGAGAGTAAATCCCAGAAAGAGTTAATGAATGTTACCCTGCAGCACTACAATCACAAATCTTTGACATGCATGCTCATGGCAATAAGTTAAGGGTGTGATTTACCATGGCAGCCATGCGAGCAATGCAGCCCTCCCGCAGGTTTAAACCAGCCAGGATTAACAGAATTAGCTCAAGCCCTAATTACCAATCGGCCAACAAAATATAACTCATATTTCTCCCTTTCTGTCCCTGTCTCTTTCTTTGTCACCCATTGCCTCTCTCCACCTCCTTTTTCATCTAGGCCAGATGAATGCTTGATTGGGGTACAGGAATTTGTATTCTTTGTGATTGTGAGGGAATGAATGAACACAGCACTTACTATTCGCTGTAATCTTGTCCTGCTAGTGACTTGTCTAATCCTACCATAAGAAGCCACATGACGAGACAGAAAGGGAGGTAAAGACGACTACGTCCATAGGCTTAAGCTGAGCAACGGCAAGTTATGGGATTTACACATCTGATGCAAACACTGAGAGTTCAGCCCAAGGTTTATAGCCAGCATCCTCATGCACTCAAGGTCTGTTGGCGTAGCAGCCGACCACTCTTTCTCTGACCTGTTTTATTATGTGTTTTGAAGTTATGATTGCCTCCTGGATTGGTTCATTGCTTCGTATCCATGGGAGAGGCCCCCAGAGTGGGACCATGTTCATGCCGTTAGGGAGTTCAGGGATGAGCCTGTCTCATGATCCTTCGTTTAAAGAATGAGAGCAGCAATGCCCAACAGTGTAATACAGCAGTGTGTGCATGTGTTCTTTGGTGAGGCGACTCAGGCCCTACTGTCCTACCCGATACAGACCCCCTTTTGTACTTTAAGGGTGCACAAAGGCTGTCAGGCTTCGCCTCTCTGTTTGGTGCCCAGACCGATTTACAGCTAATGCTGCTTTGAAGTATTTGTTAGTTAATCACATTTAATAGGGAGCTTGGAGGCAGGGACCAGAGGCTGAAGCAGCTCATGATTTTTATTATTCCCTGAAAATCTGTTTACCAGTAATTGGTCAATGAACAATTGAGTTTCATGCAGAACATTGGACCTGTGGCTGCTAATATTAGGTTCACACATCAATTGATTTTCCAAAACAATTATCCTGTACGAAAACACCGTACCTACAGATACTGTAATATCCAGTTCGTATATGCTCACAAATACATCATGCAAACCTGACACAGACAAGCTCCTTAGCTGAAACTTAATTTTTGCGGTATCCATTTAAGTCACTGCTTTATTTATAAAATTGTAACAATTTATGTAATAGCGTCACATTTAGAGAAAAAATAAACATGACAAAAGGAAGAACCATAATGAGGACTTAAAAACATGACTAAATGAGGAACTAAACAAGACACAGGTGAACATAATCAATAATCCCATGAATAACTATCTGCTTGTTTAGTCGTGACATATGAAATACTGTTCCTGTTCTGGGTCCAAGCCGCTGCTCATTTAAATTGAGAAAATATTTGTATACTGTATGTCACCACTTTTTTTTTTCCATGTCACACATTAAAATCAATTTTATATAAAATAATGGTGAACACAACAGTCTCTGGACTTGCTGCATTACAGACACCAATATTTTGACCATTTATAAAAAATAATCACTTTCTGGCCATTTTATATTAGGCATGTATGTATATATATATATTAGAGGTGTGAACCTATACTGGTCTCACGGTTCGGTTCGGTTACGATTATCATGCCTTCGGTTCGATACGATATCACGGTGCATTGACGATGCTTTCCATATACAGTGTTATATTTTGGGGGGAGGCTATAACAAGCTGTCTGTATAAACACACAGACACACAGTACCACACTATCTCTCATTCAAACACATACACAAACATAGACAGCACCAAAGAAACAAACAAACACACTCACGTACGCACGCACACACGCACGCACACACTTAAGCCCTCGCAACAGGGAGAACTCGCGCTGAGCGGAGCAGAAAAACGAAATAAAGAAAAAAAAAGCACTTTTCCGACGGTCCCTTACTGAGAGCTCCTCTCAGTGCGAGCTCTTCCGGCTAAACAAATATTGCGAGGGCTTAAACGGAGCAGTGGTCGTAATATCGAGCGAAAAAAAATAAAAAGACAGCTGTGAAACATAACCAGCTTTGTCTTTTTGTAGGAAACACACTTTAGATCTTTTTAGGGTAAGAGGTTTTTGAGTTATTGCCGTCTATAACTGAATGTGTGTCAGGAATTTTGAAAACAAAACCAACTGAACCGCGTTCCTTTCTGGCGCCCCCCTGGATATACAGCACCCTTAGCATTTGCCTATGGTGCCTATGCCTCGGACCGGCCCTGAGTTGGCTGAGTATTGTAAATACTTGCGCTCACCTCCCTCGCGAAAGAGCACACAGGAGATAAATGACGTCAGTACCCAATAACCGGTTATGATTATTACTGAACCGATACCTTATTGTCCGCGTCTGCATCGCGGTGCACCGAAGAAACGATTAATTTTGACACCCCTAATATATATATATATATATATATATATATATATATATATATATATATATATATATATATATATATATATATATATATATATTGCGATCGTGATTTTCGAAAGTATTTCATTGGTTTATTTCGAAATTTTGAAAAACATCATGATTTTCGAAGTATTACATCGATAAACATTTATTATTACCATTAACTTGATTGGACCTGGAAGCCACTTCGCATGACGTCACACCAAACAAGGGAATTGAAACAAACAGGAACAAGGAAAATTTGTAAAAAGTTTTAAAAATATTGCATTTTACAATTTAATAAAATTTTCACTCATTCATTTTCTTGTCGGCTTAGTTCCTTTATTAATCCGGGGTCGCCACAGCGGAATGAACTGCCAACTTATCCAGCAAGTTTTTACGCAGCAGATGCCCTTCCAGCCGCAATCCATCTCTAGGTTATAATAAAATTTTGTTAAATTAATTTAATTCAAAGAGTCAAAATAATTGTGAAATTTTTTTATGTTAAATCATGCGTCTTACAGCTAACAGCAAAATTGTATTATTATTTTTATTAAATGTAATCACAGTTTTTATCAGCAATAAAAATGCATTTTTTATTTGTTTGATTATTTGATTTGTCATGACAAACGGATGAACCATAATGAGGACTTAAAAACATGACTAAATGAGGAACCAAACTAGACACAGGTGAACATAGTCAATTATCCCATAAATAACTATCTGCTTGTTTAGTCGTGATGTATGGAATACTGTTTCTGGGTCCAAGCCGCTACTCATTTGAGAACATTTTCGTTTATGACCACTTTTTTGTCATATCACACATTAACGTCAATTTTATATAAAATCATGGCATACACAACAGTCTTTGAACTTGCTGCATCATAGACATCAATATTTTCTGTGCATCGGATATTAGTCATGGATTGTGTATTGTGTATCATGTATTGTGATCGTGATTTTCGAAAGTATTACATCGCTTTATTTCAAAATTTCGAAAAACATGATTTTCGAAGTATCACATCGATAATTGTGTATTACTACCATTTGATGAGTCTCCCATACAGTATGATAGAGCGCTTAGATCTTGAGGCCGCTTTGCGAGACGTCACACTTAAAAAGCGGATTGAAACAAACAGGAACAAGGAGAATTTTAAATAGTATTTAGAATGTTACATTTTACAATTTAAATTTATTAAATAAACTTAATAAAACAAAATTAAAATAATTGTGAAATTATGTGGTTAAATCATGCGTCTTACAGCTGACATAGTTAGTTTAAACTTATTATTCATTTTCATTTCACACACACATTTCACACATTTCATCCCACAGCGGAATGAACCGGCAACTTACCCAGAATATGTTTTACGCAGTGGATGCCCTTCTAGGCCCAACCCAACACTGGGGAAACGCCCACAGACTCTTACATTTACGCACATACACAACAGCCAATTTAGCTTATTCAATTCACCTGTACCACGTCTTTGGACTGTGGGGGAAACCGGAGCACCCGGAGGAAACCCACACCAACACAGGAAAAACATGTTAGTTAAAACTCTGTATTATTAGTTTTAATAACATGTAGTCACAGTTTTTACCAGAAATAAAAATCCAATTTGTTTTGCTTTTCCAAAATCGTTGCCCACAAGGCTCCCTGCCACGACAAGTCCAATCAATCTTATCCAGGACCGTGTGACATCAGTAGGCTTTCTTTTAATCGCATTGAAACAGAATTAAAGTAACCAAAATTGCAAAGTAAGTGGATGGAATAAGTAGGGCGAGACATTTGAGTATGATTCAGGTAATCACCTGCAGATCCACCCTGCATTACAATCAAAACCCATTAGCCAGATTAAAGCTTGCTCTTGTATATAGTACTTACAGTCATTTGAACCTACATGTGGACCCAACCTTTTTCAAGATCAGGCAGATTTGTTAGTTTACCATGCATCTCCTCTTTTAGTAAGTACAAATTTGGCGGTACAAATTTTAGCAAGACACTAAAGCATGCTGCCACGTGTAAATATGAAAAGGCAACAACTCTTTGCTGATGACACCTCTCAAGTTAAAGCGTGGCTCACAAATTGTACCCTAATTAGTTTACTAAGTATTTAGGTTAACTTCCTCTGAGCCTCTGTTGTGAAAGACTAAAAATAAGTGTTCTGTTTCTCCCATCTCTCCCAATAGTGTTGTTGACCGCTGTCAACTGCTACAGCGTGAAGGCCGCCACAAGGGTTCAAGATGCCTTTGCCGCTGCTAAGCTACTCGCCTTGGGCCTCATCATCATTATTGGGTTTGTGGAGATCGGCAAAGGTGAGTAGCACACAAACACACACACTGAATGAACACCAGCAGTCGGTCAGGTCAATAAAGGCGAATAATCATTCCCTATAATGTGTCACGTAGATTTGCATGCTGTTAGGTAGGCCCTGGCGTCAGTGTTTGTTTGTTTTTGCTATGGATACCATGTACTGTTCCAACTATTTTCATTACAGTGTCTCTCACTGCTATTTAGCCAGGTGGAAAGTGTCTGCAAGCTACATATATTTTGAAGCCAAATTCAACATTTATCTACAAAAAACTTTTTTCTGGAATTAGTGTTTTTGCAGGATTGTTAGTGAAGATATTGACTATTTGCTAAAACTGAGCAATGTCATGTAGTGTAAAATACATCATTTATCCTTAATAGTTCTGGACTGATTCTCTGGACTTATGCAGAATCTAAATAAGTATTTATCTATCATCTATCTCTCTGTTTACTCAAATAGAAGTTCATTAAAACTATATCAACAATTACCGACAGTTTTGGGGAAAGATACTTTTGAAATGTGTTACAATATTGAGCTACTCCCAAAAAAAAGTTACTATTTGCGTTACTTTTTAGGGTAAGTAATATGTGATGTTACTTTTGAGTTACTTTTGTGTTATTTTTATTACTTTGATGAGGTGATTTGATTACTTTGATTGATCTTTTTCAAAACTTTGTTTTTCTTTATTTCTTTAATAAAGAAGCTCTGCAATGAACAATGCACTTTATAACCAGCTTGATCTCGAGGAAACGTAATAATTTTACGTTTTGTCAATTTAGTGGCTATGCATGGGTCGGACCTTGAATAAAATTATCACGGTTTCACAGTATTGTGATTACTGCTCTAAAATATATTCTTTTTAAATGTCTGGGTAAAAAACAAAATCTTTTATCCCTTCTGAACATATATTTTATTTTGAGAACTATTTCTAATATTCTAAAGCAGTAAATATGTCAGGCTGAATAATTCAATAATTCAAATGAATAAATGACTTCTGCTGTCTTTGTTAGTTTCTGAAACGGATTAGTTTTTTACAAATTAAAACGGCATCTTTTGATATCTTTTCTGCTGGAGATACTGTTGTCCTAAAAAACTTAAATAAGAAAAATTGTACACATACCTCAGGGACAGTAAAGCAGAAAATTTTTAAATACTTTGAAAACGGTTATCGTTCCATGCCTATTCGCTAATTTGTACGAATTCGAAAAGAAGGCGTGCCACTGAATCCTGCCCCTAAACCCAACCGTCATTGGGGGATTAGCAAATTGTATTAAATTGTACGAATGAGAACTTACAAATACATATAAAAGTAGCCACTAAGTCAAAAAGTTACGAATTGCCATGAGATCGGGTTGGTATAACCTACACCTACATTTACCTTTAAAAAAACATTAAAAAACATTTTTTAGGAAAATTTTATGAGAAATTCCTGACCCCAGAGCTACATATGCCGCACATATAGATTAGAGTTAAACCTATTTGGCATAGTACGATGTCTAATGTGAAACATCAGGATAAATGATGGCATTGTCATTTTAGGCGGCGGTAAATTAATTATTTACTAATAAGGAATTAATTCGTGGTGACACAGTTGCGCAGTAGGAGGTGCTGTCAACTCACAGCAAGAAGGTCGCTGGTTTGAGCCTAGGCTGGGTCAGTTGGCGTTTCTGTGTGGAGTTTGCACGTTCTCCCTGCGCTCGCGTGGGTTTCCTCCGGGTGCTCCGGTTTCCCCCACAGTCTAAAGACATGCGGTACAGGTGAATACACTCTAAAAAACAAAATCACCATTTGTTCAGCAAACTGTACTTTTTCTGTCATAAATACTAAGAATTGTGAAAACGAATTGATTACATAAAAATATATGTTATGTCAACAATATTCGCTAAATGTTATGTCTACATGTTTAACTGAGTTTTCTGGACAAACATTTTTGTGTTGAACAGAAATGTTGATATTTAAATAATTTGTGCTTGCGTGACGTGACGATCGAAAACTAAGTTTGTTTATCAGTTGCTTGAAAGAGTGGTGACACAGTGGCGCAGTTGGTAGCACAGTCACCTCACAGCAAGAAGGTTGCTGGTTCGAGACCTGGCTGGGTCAGTTGGCATCCCTGTGTTCACGTGGGTTTTCTCCGGGTACTCTGGTTTCCGCCATAGTTCAAAGACATGAGGTACAGGTGTCTAAGAGTGAATGGGTGTTTTCCAGTACTGGGTTGCAGCTGGAAGGGCATACCCTGTAAAACATATGCTGAACAAGTTGGCAGTTCATTCAGCTGTGGTGACCCCTGATGAATAAAGAAACTAAGCCAAAGTAAAATGAATGGATAAAGTAGTAAGTTTGTGTTCATTTTTAAGTAAAATGATTAAAAACTCCTAACTGCTATGATATGCTAACTAGAACTAATTACTTATTTTGCAAATTTGAAAAAAAATCATCCACTAAACAGAAAAAAATGTATTGACTCAATAGCAGTTACTGTTGCTTCAGTTGATGTGACAAGAATATCTTCATTAGTAAAATACAATAATCAACATTGCATAAAGAAACAAAATTATGTTAGCTGAACAAAAAATTGTTACTGAGCAAAACTAAAAAACAGTTGTTGAGACAACTCAAAGTTCTTACTGCATCAAGTTGCCTTATTTTTTTCTGTTTTCTCAACAATTTATTTTTTACAGTGTAGAGCAGGCTATATTGTCTCTCGTGTGTGTGGATGTTTCCCAGAGATGGGTTGCGGCTGTAAGGGCATCCGCTGCCTAAAAATGTGCTAAATAAGTTGGTGGTTCATTCCACTGTGGCGACCCCGGATTAATAAAGGGACTAAACATAAAATAAAATTAATTCATTCATTCATTCATTCATTCAGAATAAATTATTTGTAGCCTACCATTTCACCTACCTGACCTGCATGCCTGGTCTTTGTTTTACCCATAACTAGGCCCACACGGAATCTACGCACGCAGAATTCTGCAAATTTTCAGCCCATCCTTAATTCTTTTTATTTACTTGTGTAAATGTGTATAAATTTATGGTTATTTATTTTTCAAATTTATTTCAGTAATATTATTGACTAATATGAAAATATTTATATGATTTACTTAAGTAATATTGTCTTTTAGTTGATATATTATATGAGAGACTTGCTTTGTTTACCAAATAAAGTGTATTTATTGGATTTGTATAGTAAACATTAAATAAAAAGTTAAAAGGTTTTGTTTTTTATTTTATATTTTAGGTTTTTAGTTATGATACTCCCAAAATCATTCTGCATAAATTAGCATTTTTTTTTTTACAAAATTCTGCGCTGAAATATCACAAAATGTGATTCTGTCTGGCCCTACCCATAAGCAAATCCTTAATAAATAAAGATAGGTAATGCACAAATTACCACCTGTCAATCACTTTTTTAGCAAGACTCTGGCATGAGTAAGCAGAGTGATCTGTGTCGTTATAATAGCGTCGACAAACTTGGTTGGTAAAAAATGTTTACAACCAACAGAAACCAACCAACAGCATCTGAGGTTAGATTGACGCCACCTGATAGATTCAAAAGACCGAAGAATAAAAATGACCTAACACAGATCTAAAAATAATATCAAATTGAACAAAAATGCTATAAACTTTACAAGTTTGCATACAAACCTTATAATTACATTATATTTTTTAATTAAATGTTGAATATTCTATTACTGATTATTAATGAACCATTTTGAGGGATGTAAGCAAAATCAACGGTTCCATTTCCTGTTTTACATTTTTAATTTCTATAGTTTCCGAGAACCTAAAAAGAGCCACATATCGATAAATAATTTTATGATAGCTGTTTTAACATGAAGTTATGATTGAATTGCCTCTTGTTACAGTTATGAAATAGTTTGATAACAAGCAGGAAATGTTCATAGGCCAATGACATGACCACATTAAAATGGTCTATAGAGAAAATAACATAAATATACGGTTTACTTGACTATTTGATTTAGCAGTCTTATTCCTCAGACGCTAATATATGTTGGTACTTCATCTTTTTTAGGGCTTTCTATTGCTGAATGTGCCGCCAGAACAGCAGCTCTGATTGTTTGCCACTGAGACACTAAAACACTGACGGCAGTAGTCTAGAGAACGAGTGAGGGAAAAAAAGCAGTCAAAGATTTGTAGTACTAGCTGAAAAAACCTTCCTTGACATGACCTACAGTAGTTTCTGTTTAAACAATCAAAACCAGCAATTGAAATTTATAGTTTCTAAGAGGAACAACATGCACACATTTCTGCTTTTTGTGCCCACTGTTTCTGTAATAACTTTTTTTTTGGTTTACTGATTTCAATAAGGGGATTTTGCAGTCTGAGATGTAGATTAACAAAGGTCCATTCATTTCGTCATGCACAAACAAAAGCCTGGAGCTGGTATTACTGACTCAGTTGTGAGTCAGCTAGAAAGAACAGGTTAATTTGAAAAGATTATTAGCTTTTCTTTTTATCTTTTATCTGCCCTGCATCCACTTTTACTGCCCACAGAAGCAGATCTGTCTTGACAGGCCGCAAAATTATTTTTGAAAGAAAGAAAAATGGGAATGCTGATTGTCGATTATTGAAGCCAGTAGGGTGCGAGTCTTTTAATTGGCCTTACTCACTCAAATTTGGCCAGTTTTTGGACTTGCCTTTGGGTGTGGTTTTTTTGTGTGGTTAAAGGATTAGTTTACACAAAAATTGAAAATTTTCACTCAAAACGAAAGTGGAATAATAGCGAGTAGTGCTGCTGCATGATGTTGGAAGAATCTAACATGGTGATATTTATTTTTTTTGTGATATATATTGCGATATGAATACAATTTCACCAGATGACCTGAATATTAGTGATGGGAAGTTCAGATCAAACCCGATAGAAGACTTAAAAATGAACTAATGTTCTTCTCCACCTGCACAAATGTGCGCATGCGCAAATAAACAAATCACTCTCTAAGAGGATTCATCGTTTCTATCAAACAGAAATTCAGGAAAAAACATACA